TTTTGCTTTGTCATCCCGTGCTGCCTTTTGAAATCTTCTGATACATAAAATATTTTAAGCTTAAATATTTTAGTAATACAAAATTCTGTGAGTGGAATAAAGCACCTATTAAAGAAGAAACTATGTGGTTTTAAAGAAGTTAATATATTGGTGGTTGGTATAAAAGTACTCTAGTATTTAGATTTTGATATATTAAAATTAGTGGTATAGTAGTTTTTATTTTTGAAAAAAGTATTTTTTCTTCTCCTTGAAATAATATCTTTAAAATTATTGTGTATGCATCAGAGAATTGGACAGTGAATAGTGCTGATAGAAAACTGATACTGGGAATATACCCCAGAGAGACCATGTCTGCCATCCAAGCAGATATATGCACACCCATGTTTATCGCAGCTTTGTTTACAATAGCAAAGAGTTGGAAGCAACCTAAGAGCCCATCAACAAACGAATGGATAGGGAAGCTGTGGTATATCCACACACTGGAATACTACACCATGTTGAAAAACAAGAAAATCATGCAATATTATTCAAAGTGTGTGACCCTGGAGGACATTATGCTGAGTGAAATATCTCAGTCACAAAGAGACAGATACTGCATAGTGCCACTGTTGTAGAATGGGTCTGACATCAAGGTTGGGGTATGACAGAAAAAACTGGATAAATTATGTATATTGTATTGAAACAGGTGAGGGAAAGAATATATTAGAAGTGATATATGATTGAGTATTATGGTTAGCACAGGAATCCAGAATTAAGGTTGCATAGAGAAGTGTGCTCGGGGTGGGGGGGAAAGGATGTGGGAATTGTATACTAATGAAGGAATATTTTTTTTTCTTTTTCTCTTCGGAGGAGGGAGTGAGCCGGTGGGGAGGGGTGGGCAGGGAGAAAAGTGTGGCAATAAATGAATGGAAATCCAAACCCTCTGTAAATATCTATTAAAATTAATAATAATAAAAAAGGAAAGAGAATTGATGCCTTTGAGCTGTGGTGTTGGAGAAGAGTGTTGAATATACCATGGACTGCTAGGAGAACAAACAAGTTTGTCTTGGAGAGGGTGAAACCGGAAAGCTCCTTGGAGTCAAGGATTCTGAAGCTTCGTCTGACATACTTTGGGCAT